AAACCTCTGGGTTTCACGTTGAATATATCAGAATGCAATACTTTAAGTGGCAAACATCCCTGTTCCTCACCCACTAATAAGCATGTTGGCATCTGTTTTTGAAGGTTCAAATATCATAAAAATGTTTAATAGCGTCATCCGAGCTCGTGAATTTTCATGACAACTGGATTTATCGTAGAATTACGTGCGACTACTGTTTCGTTTCACGTGGGAAATAAGATTATCGATAAAAGGAAAATGAGATAAGAAAAGGAGGCAAATCTACGAAGGCATTTCCTCTCTCACATGCACTAAACTTGGAGCCGACGCCTCACCCCGCCGCTTTCCTCTTCATTAGAGCTGTTTAAACAAAACAGCAGTAAAAATAGACCTTCTATCTGCAGCAGACGCACTGTGAAAAGGCCAATTTGAAAGAAGGAGAAAAAAACCCAAAACATCCATGTGATTATAGTTGAACAGGAAGCGGCACATGCTTTGCTTTTCAGCCCCATTGAACAAGATGTCAGCGGCTCCACGGAGGCAGTTTGGTCTTTTACGGCAATAAAGGGGAATGAGTGGAGCGTGCAAAAGTCCAGAATGCATAAATTCGCTAGCAGGCATGGAAAGGTTTAATTTTCCACACGGTGTGTTGTGTTTGCCCGTCTCTCTCTGCAGATGTAGAAAGGTCAGCTACCCGAGAGACCTCCCCCAGATCTCCCTCATCTTCATCTTCGTCAACGAGGCCCTGTCGGTGATCCTGCGCTCGGTCCACTCGGCTGTCAATCACACGCCGGCTCATTTGCTCAAAGAGATCATCCTGGTGGACGACAACAGCGATGACGGTCAGTAGAGATGAAAGAGTTCCCTTTTTCCAAATCCTTACAGAAGAAAATGGCTTTTACGCTAATTTGAATCTGTTGTACATCAAGTGAAGCACAGTGTCTGTAGATGTAGAGGTCAGTTAACCATCTGAATTCCAAGCAGTTTCTGGACATTTTTTTTTGCTTCTGTCTCATTTTTATGCACAGCAATTCCAAATCCTGCACCTTAATGGAAACAACTCAACCATGGCTAGAAACAGAGACAACTCAAAGATGTCTTTGTGCTGTATGACACCGTTGTAGTGCCACAAATCAGGAAAAAAGAAAAATGAAATTTCTTTGATTACCTGTATTACAGAAATGTTGAAAAAATGGACTCAACATTTTTCCAGGTGTCATCAACACTGGAAAAGAAGCATGACTGTACATACTATAGATATTTTACTACTTCCATTTGTAATTTTTTTCCATACTTATCTCTTATATGTTCTGTAGCACCTGCAGTTCATTCCAATTTAACTAAAACAAAAACCCAAAAGTGACTTTTGGGTCACTAATGGCTTTTCGGTTGCACTAACGAGTGCAGAACTTTTGTTTTCAGAGCTATATTTCAAGTTAAATACCACGATTTTAAACTTCTGTTTCACAACGACTCGGCAGATGATTAGTCAAAGGACGGCCGGAAGGCTGAAAATCCAACATTTCTTTCTGTTTTCCAACTTCTGCCCATAAATGTTGCCTTTCTAGCATTTTTTAAAAAAGAAAACTTGCCTTTCAAACCCATCTGTGGGTTTCAGGGATCACATAGAACAACAAGGGTGTGAAAGAAGGTTTCCAGCTGGGCTTTTGGTTCAACAACAACACGTCAAGTAATCATTCAGCACTAATTTGATTGATTTTTTTTCCCATCAAATATTCTAAAAGTGACACTAGAATTACACGAATACAGTATATTGATTAGTTGATGTTTCTTGCAGGTATTGACATTTGAAAATATTATTCTCAGTGTCACCACACGCTAAATGGTGAAACTAATTTTGCTACGTCAGCATCAGAGGTGGCAGTTTTCCGATACGTGCGTGAGATTTTCATTACTTCTGATGCCGTTTCCTCCACGTCTCGCCGTGATTAATGATTTTAAATGAGGTGATTTTGCAAACGAGACGTGTGGACGGACGTTGATTTGTTTTACACCGTCAACGCTGTCGATAGGAATGTATATTTGATAACATTTAGCTGTAACGAATGGCTTAATCACGGCCTCATTGTGTTGCGTGAATCAGCCAGCGACAAAAGAGCCATTGTGTTTGTAAAATGATATTGCGTTAAACATCGTCGAGCTTCAAAAGCCTGCATTGTTTGAAGATTACAAACTTCCATATGCATCTTTGATTGATTGTTAGACGTGTAATTTGCCTGATATCAGTTCTAGCATACATAAGATGGGAATAAGACATACTACGCGTAATATGTTCATGCGTTTTGTTACACACAAACATGCTAATAAGTGGATCTACATAGTGATGCTAATGGCACGAAGGTGTCTAACTTGTGACGGGGCTTTGCTGGCACGGAGGAGGGATGAGCGTCCCGTCGACAAAAGCTCCAGTCACTGCTTTTGAGGAGTAGTGTTTGCTGAGGTGACTGATGGTGTCAAATTTTTGCAGGGCAGACAGGCAGATAGAGGCAGAGCGCACAATTGGATGTCACGGGAGTGATGTCTCTGTCTTATTTATTGGGCCGGGCTGCCAAGCCGGGCTTTGTGAAATGAGGGGAGGGGAAGGAGATTAAACCAGGCAAAGTGAAAAAGAGAGAGGAAGATAAAGAGGTGTTGGTGCGTGAGAGAGAGAAGTTAGGGAAGAAGGGATGAAACAAAAGGAAAGGCTGAAGGGCTTGGAAATAGCCAAAGCAAAAAAAAAAAAAAAGGAGGGAGGAGGAACAAAGACGAGGAAGCATCAGAGAATGAAAGGAGAGGCGGACAGAGCAAACCAGGCTATTAGAGAAAGTGGCAGCGAGAGAGAGGGAAAGGATGAGAGACAGAAAGGCACTAAGATAAATGAGGTCGGACAGAGAGGAGGAGAGAGAGAGGGCAGGCAATGAATATCCGGGAGAGAGGGAGAAGGAGCAATCGAACAGAACCGAAAGCAAAGACAAATAACGAGGAAACGGGAAGAAAGAGATGAGATAGTCGAGGCTTTGAAGGATAAGGCTGGCATTATCTAATTCAAGCATTGTCATCTAATCCCATGAAAAGATCAAAACCAACAATGTGTTATTCTGTCACGCAGCCCTCTCTGACATCTCCTCCCCTGCCTGTGTCGCTCCCAAAGCCCCACGCCAATCGCTTTTTGACTGAAGTGTCACGAACACACGGTTTCATTTTTTATACAAAGGCTAAGTCGTTTCCTGAAAGTGCTGCGCTCTGAAATTTTTAGCAAATGTTTCTCGAGCGGGAAGTAGAGAATATGACATGGAGACAGTGCTCAGACTGATGAATCGAGTCGTTGTCAACTATTGAATTGATCAGTTTGACGACTTAAAAATAAATAAGATCTCTGATTTTAGCTTCTTAAATTTGAACGTTTGCTGATTTCTCTCTATATATATCTGGGTTGTGGACAAAAGAACACATTTAAGGATGTCATTTTGGACTTTTGGAGATGCTTGACATTTTTCAGCATTTTCTTTCGAGTTTCTCTCCATCTGCAAACTCATAGTTTAATTATTGTCGTTTTTCCTTTTGCCACCAACAATAGGTTGTTTGCTCATATTTTTGCTTTAGTTTGTGTTTACAGCAGCAGGATGGTGTGAGTGGTTGATTACACATTGCAGATGTTCTATTATAAATATTAAACAGACAGTGTACACTTCAATACCAATGCTGCTTTTTTAACTTACATTTATTTATTTCTACTTATTGTATCATTATTATTTGCACTATGCTGGTAGAATTGTGTGTTTTATGTGCATCTTTACTTGGCCCTGTTGATGTTAATGAGGGAACTTGTCACCCTGTGATCATTTTGAGACAACAATTAGGGTCAGTACTAGAAACTAGACGGGTAGCGTGAACGGATTAAGACAGCTGAAGCCCACCTCCACCTCCACCTCCACCCGGCTTTCTCTCTTGACACTACTGGTTGGCTGACAGCCTGCTATCCATCACAGAGGAGAAGACATTGCAGCAGCCCAGAGGGCGAGGCATGCAAACACATAACACTCCCGCCGCCTTGCACGAGTCACTCGGCTCGGCGGCCTCGCCTCGGACGCACTCGTGTGCCAGATGTGTGAGTCTGCGAGGGAGAAAACACAGCATGAGAAATGAGTTTGTGATCAAGAGTGTGCGTGAGTAAGAAAGAAATAAAAGCGGCAAAGACAAAGGAGCAGAAAAAGCACAGAGAGCATGAGAAATGTGTTTTTTTGTTTTTTGTTTGAGGGAGTGTGTGTGTGTGATGCAGAGGAAGAGGAGCTGTGAGTGTTTGGGTCCGGAGGGAAAAGGCTGATGAGTTGATTGAGAGATCAAAGGTGGAGCGGTCGGTGACGCTCAGGAAGCCGCACGCTTCCCTTTGGTGTTGTTTGGAGTCTGTTGAGCTCACAACAGCACCGCAGGGAAGCCAGCAAGTAGATTCTTCTTTGTCATATTTCTGTTTCTGTCATTTGTGTGTCTGTCTTTTTTCTGAAAAAAAAATTGGATCACTGTGCGCTTGCAGTGAGGCGTTTTTATGTCTGTGTCAGTCCCGGAAAACGCATCAGCGAGTAGATGTGAGCTTGGACAAGAGATAATGTAATATTAGGTTCATAGCTGATGCAATTGTCTCCTGTTCGGCAGTGGTTCAACAAGGTGTGCCAAGTGTGTTACCGTTCTCTAACAGAGAGCCTCAGCGTGATCTCGTCTGGATTTACAGCTTAATTTTTGAGATTAAAACACTGTAATAAGATGAAAGTACAGACTGGCTTAAGCTTGATTTCACACCATTTATATGCAAATAGCACACATGCAGGTTAGTGGGAAGATTTCCGTAGATGTAAATGCCATTTATGAAATTTTAATATGGCTGCATTCTCATAGGTTTTATTGGCTATTTCTGGTTCCTAGTTTCTAGTGGGGCTGAACGATTAAATTGCGATTTAATTGTGATTTCATTTGCCGCACAACCTTTTCAAGTCGAGCCTCGGTTCAGTGTTTGTGTGTTTTGTGTGTGAATGTGACATGAATGAGCATAACCACGAGAGACGACATGAAACACTCGTCTGTCACACACGGAGGACACAACAGTTTGAACTCTGCATCAGACGTGCTGCTCACTGAACACATGTGTGGCTATCAGATGATAAGACTGGACTCATGTCAGCCCAAGAACAGCTCGCCTGAACCACGTTGTATACATCGATCGATAGGCCAAACCATAAACATCTCTCAAATGTTTTAATCTGCTTGAATTAATTAAAAGTGAATTAGTCTCATTATTTAATAGCCACGCCTCATTTATCGTCAGACTTTGCGATGTGCTAATTGCATTGTTTCAAATTGCAATATCGATTTGAAACCAAGTAATTGTTCAGTCCTTGTCTGAACTATGCAGACAGACTAGAAAATAACACGAGATACTTTCCTGAGTGCTCCAGAGAAAGGATCTATTCTTTTACCCCGTAGCTTTAGCAGGTCAGGAGTCAGGATCATGTTCTGTGCTGCAAGGCTGGAATTGGCAGGCTTTGATATTTTGTTCAAGGACTCATCTGCAGGAAGGAGGACGCTGAGCTGCAGACTCCCGTACAATCTGTCTAACCTGTTGTTTTTGTTGGGTGTGTAATCTTTGTTCTGTGGGCTGCAGAGCAGCTGAAGGGACCGCTGGAAGAGTACGTGAACAAGCGCTACCCGGGTTTGGTGAAGATCGTAAGAAACCAGAAGAGAGAAGGGCTGATCCGGGCCAGGATCGAGGGCTGGAAGGTGGCCACCGCCGAGGTGACGGGATTTTTTGACGCCCACGTGGAGTTTACGCCTTCATGGTGAGTAAGTGTGGATGGAATAACTAGATTACTGTGATAAGGTAGCAGCAGTGCAGGGTAGACATTTCAATATAAGGTTTGCTTTAGTTGTGAAGTTAAACATTTTATTTTGAAATCTTTGGCTTTTTGATTTTTTTCCCGCCATCTACAAACCAACTGTTGTCCTGCCGTAGTTTTACTTTGCAAAGGAGAATTATTGTCACTCTTCATTTTGCCTCCAAATAGGATGGTTTGCTCATATTCTGTTCTTTATGAAATGAAATGAAATGAAATGAAATGAAATGAAATGAATGAATGAAATGAAAAATACTTTATTTATCCCAGCTCACTTTTTTTTTGTATTTATTTTTTTAAATTTAATTTAATTTAATTTAATTTTTTATTTTATTTTTTTTATTTTTTATTTTTTTAATTTTATTTATTATATTATATTATATTATATTATATTATATTATATTATATTATATTATATTTATGGTGTATCTCCAGCAGCAGGACAATGTGTGTGTGGTTGACTGAAAATGAATTACATGGCAGAGCTTCTATATGCTTAATACTTTTTAATGTTATTTTTGAAAACATCTGCACTCACAAAATTAAATCTGAAACATCTTGGGATCTGTATTTCTATTTACAGGCCATTTATGAATATTCGAACATAGTTATCCTAACCTAATAGTGTAGGACGTTTTCTAAATCATGACAACAGCAATAACAATAATACACTTTTTTTAAAAGAAGGTTATTAAGTGCTTTAAAGAATAATGAGATGAGAGGACAAAGAGCAGCTGAAGCCGTAGAAAACATACATTCAGGCTATTTCACACCTGAGAAGTTCTCAAGTCAGGAATAATCCAGATTAAAAGATAGTATAGGACAAATAGCAGATGGACATAAAGTAAGCAATTAAACAGAACATTTCTGGGAGGCCTGTTTTGCAAAAGTCCATTTTAAAGAACCACTTAAAAAGTTATAACTGATTGGACAGAGATCTGAACACTTGGCTGCCCACAACATCGCGGTCACATCCTGCGGACACCTTTTTGTAAGTCTGGTCGTTTTCCGGCTCGGTGCGTACTTCAGAGTATGTACACAACACAGTTCTCTCAGAGCAAGTAGACACATGCCCTCCAGAGCTGCTTTGAGCTGAATCAAATAGAATTAGTAATAAAGTTAGTACAACTTGAGGGACTTTCTGTCCGACTGAAGTGGGCGAAAAGAGCGGTGAGCTTAAGAGAGGCTCTGTGCTGTCGGCCTTTTAGTTTGCTTCTGTTAAAGTGTGTGTGTTTTTTTTCCGCTCTTGTCAGGGCCGAGCCGGTTCTCGCCAGAATAAAAGAGGACCACAAGAGGATCATCTTGCCCTCGATCGACAACATCAAGCACGACACTTTCGAGGTGGAGCGCTACGAGAACTCGGGCCACGGCTACAACTGGGAGCTGTGGTGCATGTACATCAATCCGCCCAAGCAGTGGTGGGACGAGGGAGACATGTCTGCTCCCATCAGGCAAGAACACTTGACATACGCACCATTAAAACCACATGAGTGTGTACATCCCCTCATCCACGCCAAAACAGTCGGGATGTGTACAGGGGAATCTGTGTGTGCCCCCTGTGGTGTCTGCGTTGGTTCTGTGGGTTCTGTTAGGCTTATTCCAGAGCATCCCACAGACGTCTAATTGGATTGGGATCAGCACTTTGTCATGTTCCTTCAGTTTCTGAGTAAACTAAAAATACAGTTTAAGCTCATCCGCCTTCGTTTTGGATGTCTATCTAAGAAAAAGTCTACTATGAGCTGCAGTAATATTTGACTTTACGCTGCTTTACGTCTGCACAGTTCTCCCCAGATCTGTCCGTTTGCTGGAACAGAATCTTAAAATAGATCAGGCTGCAGCAACGGCCAAATTGCAAAATGAAAAAGTAAATTTCCGATGACGTGACGGGGTGAGGCCACTGCTGTTTGCTGTTAGCTGCAGCAACGTTCAGATCACTCTTAAGTGCAAAGTAACGTCCACAAGAATTCCAGGACTCAAGGTTCCCCAGGAAAACACTGCGCTTCAACAAGATGACATTTTTCACTGTCATTAATTTGAACGTTGTGTCTGATCAGTGTACACGCTTTCCTCTCACGCTTCAAGAAAACAGATGTATATCTCAGAAGCAGCAGATTATTGTACACAGCTTTTAATCACCTAGTTTTTTGGGGAAGATGAGAGGAAAATGAGAAATAAGCTCCAGATTTAGTACCCGACTCCCTCAAAGCAATTTAAGAAATGACAGCCTGAAGTGCAGCGTGGTTGTGCTCCAAATGGGATTTTAATTATCTGATTTTCACCCATATATTTGTGTTACATCTGATTTTTAGATCAAATTTTTTCGTCTTTTAAAAATAAACAGAAAATGGAAACATCTCATAAATATGCATTAAAACACTCACATTCTGAACATCTGCATGAATACATCAAACAAGCCAATCCACTTTAATGCAGACAGGGTTCGGATTCACACGTGCACGTTCCAAAAGCTCAGTGCTGCTTGTTTTCATGTCGTGCAGGACTCCCGCCATGATCGGCTGCTCCTTCGTGGCCAACCGCGACTACTTCGGGGAGCTCGGTCTGCTGGACTCGGGGATGGACGTCTACGGAGGGGAGAACATCGAACTGGGCATCAGGGTTTGTGTGTCACCCAGTTTCCTCCTGCTCCTGCTCCCTCTTTACCCCTGTAGGTTTAAGTGGAGCAGTGGCCACCGTTGCGTGGCACAGCTGATAAATGAGGCCCCATTAAGAGTCCTGGAGGACCAGGCCTGTGTGTGCAGCTCACAGCAGGGCAATGGAGATAAATAGGTCACATGGAGCAGCAAGGTTGGGGAGGTTTTCTGTACGTTTTGAGAGATTGTAGAGTCTGTCGTTGGTCTGCAGCAATATTTAGTTTTTTTTCCAATCGGACTAGAAATAACAGATGTTCTGACTTTAAATGACTGAAAACTTTCAACTTGATTTAATATTATTATTCTGTATTGTCAAAGGATTGCTTTTAATGCTCCCTAATCATAAAATTAATACCCAACTCTACACCTTTTAACCATTTTAGCTTTGTTTTATTAGACGTTACTGAACGATTTGGCCTCATTACTCCTCCTCTACAGTTAGCAGCTGGAAAGTGGAACATCTAGACTGATGTATTTCTCAGGTGTTGACCAAACCAGAGCTAAAAAAAAGAGGTAATGCTGGACAAAAACATCTGTCTGAACATTTTCTTCCATGCTGCTGCTGTTACCAGGCCTGGGGGGCATCATGTGCATCTGTCTGCTTGTTATATTTTCTGCCATCTAGTGGCCAAAAATTGTGATTTTTTTGTGGGGTTAATTTCCCCAATAACACCCTCTATCTGCAGGTGTGGTTGTGTGGAGGCAGCATGGAGGTGCTGCCCTGCTCCAGAGTGGCTCACATCGCACGGATGAAGAAGCCCTACCACAGTAATATAGCTTTCCACACGCGGCGCAACGCTCTACGTGTGGCCGAGGTCTGGATGGATGAGTACAAGTCCAACGTCTACCTGGCCTGGAACATCCCCATGGAGGTGAGAGAGACGTGCTGCCGTGGCAACAACTCCTGCAGAGAAAAGCCTGTTGTTAGTGGTGTCTTATAAAGCAAAGTTTACTGCAGCGGCTGCTCAGCTTCGTTGGTTTATTGAGCGTGAACCATTAGCTCTGTTGATGGAAATGTAAAAGGTGGCTTGTCATGTTTGTCAGATGTTTTGCTGAACAGTACATTTATTGGCAGTGTTACATCAATTAGCTAAATTGTGTTTTAAATGTCGTGAATGATCATTTTAATTTCCCAAGTCATGTGAAAATGGTGCCTTTACAAGTCAAAGACTTCCCATAAACTCTCCTCGCTGTCTTGCAGAACCACGGTATTGATTACGGAGACATATCTCAGAGGGTTGCGCTGAGGAAGAGTCTGCAGTGTAAGAGCTTTCAGTGGTACCTCGACAATGTTTACCCCGAGATGAGGAGGTACAACAACACGCTGTTCTACGGCGAGGTGAGTCATCAGTCCGACCGTGAAGGAGACGGAGGAGCTTGTTCACCTGAAGTCTGGCGCGTTCGCACAAACTGACGAAAACACTGAAAACAGATGAGTGAGAAATTGGTGAGACAAATCCTAAGAGGTTTATGAAAAGAAAAAAAAAATCTCAGCACCGAAACAAAATGACTAAAGTTAGAAAGAGAGCAACATTCATACACACTGTTACAGCTGAAATGGTTTTAATTTGCATCTCACAGCTGCCATGTTTTTCTGAAAATACCTGAATAGCATTTTGGGATATTTAGCCTGTAAGCGGACATTTTTCATTTCAGATCCGCAACTCTAAAGTAAGCCACCTGTGTATGGATCAGGGTATGAAGGAGAACCACACGGCCACCCTGCACCCCTGCCATGGATGGGGTCCTCAGGTACATCACACACACTCTGCACTCAGCAGAATGGCCACAGAGAGACACTTTTTCCACTCTGTGCTCTCTCTCTCGGAAACACACACAACTCATTAGTGTGTTTCTCACACAGGCTCAGCTGAAATCCTCTTAGGAGAGACTTCTGTCAGAGTAGAAATGTTTCTGTGTTGCACTTTTTGTGCTGAAGCCCTGAGTCAGCTGGTGTCAGCTCCTCGGCCCATCGGCCCACAGGGCGTCTCTTTTTAGCTCGCAGTGGTAAACAGGTGCTTCAGGGGGCAAGTCTTGGCTCCAGCAGTGAGTGAAAGGCTAAAAAAAAATAAAATAACAGAGATATTTTCAATTCTCACTCTTTGTGCAAAAGACACACTTCAGTCGCATTTTTAAAATGATCTGTCTGATGAAATAGTTCGGCTTCAGCAACAGTTTCTTGCACTTCAATGCAGGTACCTGAAACCCACCGTGTGCTAAGAAGCAGCACTGACCTCTAGGGACCACAAGTAGGACTTTAAGTGCAAAATATACCTACAAAACCTGCCTTATACGCCGCAAACACATGACAGTTTTCTCTGCATGCGTTTTAACATTTCTGTAGAGAATAACAGCCTCACTGCAGCGAGACGCTCAAACTGGGTTGTCTAGACGGTTGACTGAATTGAAGCACAACTCAAAGCTTTCATCTTGTTGTTGCTAACTTTTCACTGTGGATCTCTGCACTGCGATGTGAGCAGCTCATTCTTTCTTTTTCTTTGAGGCCAGAATTCGAGTTGCTGCACTTCTGAGCACAGTTAGTTTTTACTTTCAGCACAGAGCTTTAGAATGAGCCATAGCCCGGCTGATTGGAAATATTTTATCTTTGTCTGAATTATGTAGTGTTGCTGCTACTAAGTTAGTTATACCATCACTCATTTATCATAGAAGATGGACAGAGAACTGCCAGGGCATATTTTAAGGCTTCAGAAAATTGAGACTAAAGAAAGCTTTATCTTCACAGACAAACCAGTTTGATCGTGTTGCTCTTGAGATTCTGTTCCGTCAAATCTCGTGCGAGGAGATTTCTTTTAGTTTCTGTACCAGACGACACCGAATTTGATCCGTGCAATCTAATCTTGGGCTCTCAGCGGGTGGGAACGTTGCTGAAGCGACACTGTGTTTACACTGATAACGCTGATTTACAGGAAAATCTTGCGACGTTATAGCACTCGGTAGAGAACAAAGACATGTTTTGCCTCTCAGCACAATTTGGAACGACACCATCCTTCTGTTCAGAGTGAGCCAGAAAGCAGCTTCTATGACGAGGGGAAAATTCCTGCCAGAAGTGCAATCGTCACCTTCGACTTGCACTAACATATAGAGTACTCACTTCAGTGTTCAGAGCCAGGCCATTACAACAATGCAGCATATTCCTTCACATTGTTTAACGTGTGTTTTCTCTGTTTGCCTTCAGTTAGGACGTTTCACCAAAGAGGGTCAGCTGTTCCTGGGTCCGCTGGGCAGCACCGGCGAGGACACCCGCTGTGTGGTGGACGACCAGATCAGCAGCTTTCCTCAGCTCCTCAACTGTGACAAGGTGACCAATGTGAAGCAGAAGACGTGGCATTTCACTCAGGTGAGAAGAAATCCCTCCGACTGTAGTTACAGAGTCTCTGTTTGTAAGAGAAACTGAATTCATTATGTCGTGAGAGCCACGATGTGAAAAGTAGTGTTACGATTAGCGAACAGTGCAGAGGTGAGAATGTACAGGAGAGGATCAAAATTATCATTTTTTTCTCAGCAAAGATGGAAAGAAAGAAGAAATCCTTACAATGGGTCTTCTCACTGTAAACTTTAGAGTCCAATTTTGACATTTTTTTACCTCAGGATTCTGATTTAATCTCAGAAATATACAAATGAAGTCAAAATTGTAAGAAAAATAGTCAGAAATCTTTTTTTTTCTGCAACAAAGGAGGGTTGAAATATGATTAAGATTCTACAAAACCCTGCAAATGTCATAGCACAGATTTCTGTATTCCCTCGAAACACACTTTACATTCCTTCCTATCCATAAGAATGGTTGATGTGTCGGTCCATTCTGCCTGAAACACACCGAAACATTTTGCTGATGCATTTATTGCTCGCTATTCGTTTAAGAGGGCCAATCTCCAGCAGAATCTAACTGCGGGTTGAGAGCGTGGCGGGATATATGGCTATTGTTTGGACTTTAGCCACAGTGTCGTCCAAAGGCTGCAGTCACACAACGATCAGTGAGAGAGCTGCTGAACCAGCCTTTCCTAATGCAATGGTGCAGACTAGTGCCTGAGCAGCCACAGCTGAGTGTCCACTGACACTGTGTGGTCAGATCCAGCCACAGCCTGTAGGCTACAGGATGCAGCTCATACAGTTACGACTACAGAGACCCGTTGTTGTGATTATGGCTGTAATACAGAGAACATGCAGCGTTAGCATCTGTAGCTGAATGTCCTGCTGAAGCTGTTGAACTTCTGAATAAACACATCTTTCATAGAAGCACCGGGTTTTTTGATATCAGCAGCCGGACATTTCCATCAGTTGAACCGCACATCCAGCCGCAGCTTCACCATCGCGGCACGCAGAGCTGCAGCTGTGCTCACAACCGGCAGCTGGATACTGTCAGAGATCAGCCAGTAAAAGAGAATAATGAGCAATAAATGCTTCTCATAAAGTGTCACATTATCTCTCCTTCATCTCCCCACTCTGCAGAGTGTCTCCACCGGACTGGACAACACAGTAAATGTTCATGTGGATGAGCAGACATGTAAAGCGCTTTGCAAGGAAACTCATAATTACAGTCAGAATTTGGACTTTTTTTCCACAGAATTCTGACTTTAAACACTATTTCGGAGATTAAAGACAGAACTCAGTTTTTCTTACAGTGGCCCTAATCCTCTTCTGTAAGAATGAAATAAGATTAAACCTTTAGCGTGTGAGGCAGCTTCGAGTAGATTTCCACTAAAATGTACTTGAAGGTATTTGTGCTTAAAGGATGTTATATATGTGGCACTTTCACAGTGTTTATGGCGTAATTCCAAACTAATGAGGACGTTTTTGAGGAGACAGATTGCAGTTTTCTCTGCACTAAAGCCATTTTCCATCTGACAATCTAAAGTAATAGCGGTAGCAGCATTTCTAAGGTCTGAACATTGCTGTGGCAGTTACTTGATTCCTTTGTTGGATGTCGCTGAGGCCAAAATTATTCCTACCTATGTCGGATTTTTATTTGGCATTTTTATTTAACCAGTATGTTTCCTCTGTCTGGAAATGACATTAACAAGCGAATGTCAATGATGGATTTGTTTACTAGTACCATGTTTTTTTTTGTTTTACTACGAAAGCCACATCCATATTTGCTCATACCACATGGAGTTGTTAAACATCTTTGAAGAAACTACCTCTTCTACATGTTCTGGAGCATTCGAATACGCTATAAATAGAATACAGGTCATGTAGTAGTGCTCTAGTCAGCCATGGTTAGTGTATGGTCTGACACAATGTCTTTCTGCTGCTTGTTTATGTTATTTTCAGCCAAAAGAAACCTAAAAATCAAACACAAATTTAACCCTTTCAGGACTAAGCAAATGTGTATTCCTTATACACTTCAACACTAAGTGTCTTTGGCTTGAAATTCATGATATGGTTTTGATTAATCACTCATAAATTCTTAAGTAGATTTCACATCATTACATATCTGCTATCAATCAAAAGTTGACGGTTAAATATATGTGGAAATTTGCTCCTGTCATAGGTGTGAAAAAGAAAAGGTAAACTTCATAATTACCAGGATATATGCAATTAATTATCAGCTCTTGTATACAGAGACATCAGCCAAAGTCTTGTAATTAGTTCGTTTTGATCGCTTATAAAAATTTCAGAAGCAAAATCCAGTTTTCTGGTGATTTTTGGGGTCAAATGACATCATTTTACTTCATTTGCATGATTTATTTCAGGACTGAATCGCCTGTTCACATACGGGGATTCCCACTGATAGACAGTCAAAATAAATTAAACAGAAAGTCACCATATACCGGAGCACGCTGTACCGGTCTGCAGGGTTGATGGCATGAAAGCCGCAGACCGATACAGCGGTCTGCAGTGTTGAACAGGAGTCATAATGCCAACCCAGTATAGCAGGCTATAGTGTCGGAAGGGTTCATATAAATCAGCACGAGTATGAAGTATTAGTTCAATTATTAATTGGTGCCACTTTGGAAACAACGCAGTTTTGTCTCTGTATTTAAGGTTTTGGAATATTGTGTTTAATATATTACAAGTCCTCAGCAGGCCTGGCTCCCATCACATCCCATCAGTCACATGTGCTGCATCTGTAAAAACCTGTTAAAGCCAGAACGCTGTCACTCCTCCCGCCTTGCAGAACGAATCGATCATCAATCGAGCTACAGGACGCTGTCTGGAGGTGGTGCCGGCCAACGTTTACTTCGGCCACCTGCTGGTGCTGCAGCCCTGCTCAGGCCAGAGGTGGACCATCAAGAACACCATGAAGCAATAGTCGACTGGCCGATTTCACTGGGACCAATTACACCAGAGGCCATTCCCAAGAGCCGTCAGCTGACCTCAGCGAGGCCGATGGACTAACGATGAGGAGAGGCTCCTCATCTTCTCAAGGAAGGACTCGAGGAGGTTTGTTTTAAAGACACAGGTGCTGTGAAGACTTTAAGCGAGAGGTGGTTTGGGAACATTTTTTACAATGTGGACATTCACAGTGATGCAAGTTTAGCATGAGGACTGTTTCTCTCTATTTGAATTTTACAAACTTTCGATGTGATGTTGCCATAATTCCTGTACGTGCCACTTCTCTACGATGTTTTTAGGTTTAAGGATAGAAGTTTAATCAACCAAAACTGTGTTCTGTCTTATGTGGGAATTAAAGGTTTCTATCTTGATCCTCCAAAAATCTTTCTGCAATATTTCCTCCTGTATCACGTTATGTCTTTTAAGATGTGAAAAAATAATAAAATACCTGGAATCAAAGTTTTCTGAAATATGCACTGATCAGAAAACGTTTAAGTCGTTCAAGTTTTTAGTGCAACACACCTAAAAATGAAGGCGTGCCAACTCACGACAGGCATAATTTAACAGAAATAATTGCCCAAATAGTGACTTTTATGTTCTTTTAAAAGGCTAGACCCTGTAAATATTTATAATTTGAAGAAAAAGGCACTAACAATAAGTATAACTTGATGTATTAGAGCCTATTTTTGTTTGTTTTTTTTGTTGCAGTCGTTGTAAGTCATCTCAAACACCTCAAAAGTCATATCGTCAAGAGGGCTACTGGGCTAAGTCATCGACATCTGAATTTTTTTATTGTCATTTCTACTCAAAAGTATTCTGTAGCATCAGATGCACTACATCTTGTAGCATGATTGTAAAGTACTGTATGCACATGGGAACAAAGTTAAGTTGTGCTAAGTTGATTTCTTCTGTTTACCTGCTGAGTGCCATAACTACTGCAGAAGGCCAAAACTAGTGCAGCACTTTTTGGGACACCAGAGAGAGAGAGAGAATTGCAGAATTACGAGAAGGAAGATCGAAACAGAAATGTACAAATTGCACAAGTGTATGGATTGTGGAAATGCTGGTGGCTGGGATTGTTAATGTACTGAGATGTATATGATGTCATCTATTCGATTAATTCAGTGTTATCAGTTGGATTTTTTGCTCCCAAGATTGTCTTCCAATAAACAACTGGTTTCCTGCTTTGTGCATGGTTACTGTTTTTGAGGATAGATTTTTTTTTTTTTAACTCTTTATGAATTATGACGGTTTCATATTTGTGTTTTAGGCCTTTTAATTTGTGCTCAAGTAGTCGATGCACTTGTGCAAAACCATCAGCTTCCCGCTGATAAAGTGCTGCATTTCTGTTTTTGCTGGATTTCAAATAAGCTCGAGACTCTACAAAGTGAGAACCACCATGCTGGGCCGCTCTCTTTTTAACTGCTCCATCCATTTGCATGGTTTTGGTCAAAAGATTTTCCTCATACTGTGAGATTAGTCCAAGAAATTATCTCCAAAAATAGACCACTTCAAAAGGGATTTCACCCTCAGTTCCCAGCTGCATGGCATCTGGTGCAACTTGTACCGACTTGGCTTATGAAAACTTTAATCACATATCCTTTATAAAAAAAAAAGAAAAAAAAAAGTGCAAGACCAAAATATTACAACATCTGAGGCAGCCAGGTGGGCCAACATTAAAGAGACTGTCCTATAAAACGGGAAGTTATGGGTCCAATCCTGTTGCAGCCGCGCGTCCTGTGAAAAGTGTCCTTGAGTGTGAGCGCCGACTGCTCACTCTCACTCGGCTGGAGCATCAGTTAAATGCTTAAGATGTAAATGAAACAGGAGGAGCCTGCTGGGAGCACAAGGGCCTGTTTCTAGCTGAGTGGTGTGGCTCTGAAGGACAGAGTCTGCATGCTAACACCACACTGAATGCTGATCAGACTCCTAATGACAGGCCTGCTCGTCGCCCTCTGGCATGAAGCTGGATTACTATATGATGGGTAAAATCCTGCTAAATGTCAGAGGGACAGTCTGGAGATTCTTGTTATGTCACTTGAATCTATAGGGACAGAGGACGTGCTAATTGAAGATAGTGACTAAATTCTGTACCTTATTCTGGAGGTGAAATCTGTGCCTGCGACATTATTTGTGAGATGAATTGTTTTTAAAAATTCCAATCAGTTGTAATTGCCATATTGACAGCTAACCAGCAGTGTCCTGTATCTCCCTGTGAGCCCATAATGAAAGCTGTTACAGTTTAATCACAGGTCAGCGACGTCTCTCTCATCCATTACAATCGTGTCGTCATTTGCACCATATGGTTGTGTGTGTTCTAACCTGAGCGTCGGTCCCTGCAGCTGCCCTCCTCTTTTATGTGTCTCTGGATGACGAGTTGGACAAAAAAAAAGGCAACAGATATTAGTACTGTGGTGAAACGGACCTAAGTACATTTATTAGTACTATACTGAAGTATTTCCATGTTAGGCTGTGTTCTACTTCTACTCTGCTATACTTTGGAGGCAAATAATGTACTTTGTGCTTCACTGTTTGCCTTTTAAAGCTTTAGCGGCACAGTCAGGTTCATGTAAATGCTGTATTATAGATTAAGCTAACCGGCAGCATGTGAATTAAAATTAGCTTCGGCTGCAACATTAAAATGATGTTCACATTGATTCATCAGTAATTATCAATATACACAATAATATATGTATGTAATGACTGTTTCAGTAGGACTTTTACAGAGTATTTTACACTGTAGTTGTGGTACTTTTACTTAAGCCAAGGAACTAAACTTCCACCACTAGACATAACAGCTACAAGCACAACTTTAGTTATGATAAGAACATGTGACCTTTTGGTTTGTGCGGTGCTACCAGCATGTCAGTGTGACACCAGTAGTTTTTGTACTCTGCAAAGGTTTCAGGCACTACTAGTGAAGCATGGTGAAGGTCTGGGGCTGTATTTCTGCAAAAAGAGTTGGACATTCGTTCAAAATTATTGGTCTCCTGAATGATGAGAAGTACAGTCAGAATCTAATCCATCGTGCAATATCAGCAGATTGGTCGAGTTCATTCTGTGGCATGAAAAACATAAAGGCAGAGTCATAAACTACCCTCAGGTTGATGATGAGACACCCAGAGAGTCCTGATCTCAATATTAATGAGTCAGTCTGGGAGAGGAAGTGCACAGAGGAGACCTGGTTTTAATGGCAATGGCTGGTCATACCGTACATTCATTAGTTTTAATTCACTTTGAATGTTAATCTGTGAATAGAAATAGTTTGTGACATTTTAAAACAATACGTCTGCCTTTTAAAAGAGGGACTAAATGACTAGCAGCTACACTCTGTTATCTCTGTGTACTGCAGCAGAGATATTGGTGACTTTACAAACAGCTTATTGCAGATTGAATCAGTGCATTCCTCTCAATCAAACAGTCACCTTCACCATCTCGCCGCCTAACGCTACCCTCTTGTGGCGTCAGTCTTGTCACAGATAACATACAGTGTGTTTGGTAAAATAAAACCAAGGCTTCACATTTAACAGAAGCTTTTGCCCCGCGTGACTCGCGGCGGCGCACCACTGACACACATCGGCGAGCACATGAGTAATTGTGTTGATCAAACCTGCGACCTCCAAGTGCCAGACGGTCTCTCTTTGACCTCGAGCTGAGCTCCTTCTCTCATTGATCTATCAGGGCTCTCATGATGACACCTGGTCTGTCTCTTCTACCTCACATCATCGCTCCCTGTAGACTCTGCTTTTATTAAATCATTTTCCACACCGGGGCCTATATTTATACTCGAACGGTCGTAAAACGGCAAGGTCATGAAAGGTAAGTTATTTAACACTGAGGAATGAGCCGCTGTTATCAAGGACTCGCTCCAACTTAAAGTGAAGTGGAGAAGAAACTTGTGCTTGTACACATCTGCTCCATTGTTACGCTTTGTCAGCAGAAACCAGCACGGTTATATTTCATCTTTACAGAAATTATTTACATAAAAACGTATGCAAACTATGTCTGGCAGAAAATAACACATGCAGCTTAAAGGAAAATATCCAAGAAAGTCTGTTGTTGGTAAATTAGTGCAAACACTGAGCAGTTTGGTTAGTAAAGGTCCATGTCTTACCTTTCCACCATATGTTTCAGTCCATCACCTGCTCACCTGTCTCTGGTTTCCTCATCAGGCCTCACCCGTCACTCATTTCCTCCATCTGCTGTTTGCTGCTTGTTTGTAACCCGACTTCATTCCTCTGCCCCTCCATATCTGCACACACAGCCTGACTCATCCAAAGAAAGATGAGCAATCTCTTGTTATTTTTAGTTTCTGTATTTACCTCGTTCTGTGGTTTAGAATCACACATGAACACAAATGTCTTCGTTTGAAACTATGAAAGCTGATAATTACATGAAAAAATAACTTATTTCTGCTACACTAATGAGAAAGTGGCTCATTAAGATGTATTTAAAGAAACATTGCATCATAAAGCTAGACACTGTCTTTGAAACAGTCCTGTGTAAAGTTAAAGCTCTGCCTTGATAACAAACACAAGGTAAAATAAAACATAAGGCACAATTTAAAAAACACTATTTTTATTGCAACAATTCTTAATCCTTTGACTTTTGTACAGATTACCGTATTTACAATTTCATAATTATTATGCCTCTAATAAATAGCACAACTGAAAGTCACTCTCTAGTCTACATGTTTAAATATTGCACGTGCAAAGTATGTATAGTATGTGCTTGTCTAATAGATATACCGTCTTATCAGCTATGTACAAAGTTACATAACCAAAAAAACAACAAAACAAAACAAAAATAAAAACGTGGGATCCAACCACCATGCTACTGAAGAGACACTGTGCATTTCCCCTCCATAAGAAAACTCTACTTCAGTGATCGAGACATGCAATCATTCTGCAGGGACGGGAGGCAGTTTAATTACAGCCAAACTGTAACTCAAAAGTCCCCCAAAAATATCAAATAAAAGCAAAAAAAATTTAAAAGACAAAAGTTCTTCTCAAATAACAAATTAAAGATAAAACACCTTTCCAGTTATTCACTACCTGACAGCAGTGGCTGGCCGTGAATTTGGTCGGAAATTTACACCAATACTGCAAGATCGACAGATTAAAAGTAAAAAACCAAACTAATTTTAATCAGAACCAGTGTGACCTACAAGGTTTTCCAAGACTGCTATGGCACAAGTGCTTTTTTTGTTCAGTCTCCAAAATGTAGTGTTGTGAAATCATCCGTGAATGAAACCTTTTACAGGTTCAAAATGACTTTTTCTGCCATAGGCAAGAAATCTATTCCTATTAAATACACCGTTTAAATATGTGTGTCGCATACAAGTGCTGCTCTACCTGCAGTGTCGGTAGATCAAAGTCAACCTATACATCATAGATAAAAATCCTCATATTTTAACATTTAATATCAACAATTTCCACACGTTGTGAATATAGTGCTGAGTCCTGCCTGACAACACATTCCCATCGTATTTAGGAAAACACACAAAACACTGTGATGGACAACAGCATGGAAAGATGTGATCTCACTTTCACCTCTAGATGGCACTATTGCACAAACCTACAACCCCTCTTGTCATTGGAATGGATGACAGGTACAGTGCAAAAACAACAACAGGAACCAACCAAGTCCTACATGATATACATACTTCTGCCAAAAAAAAATAAAAAATGCCCGTTTGATCTTGTGTTTCCACGTGGGAACAGGGAAAAACGTCTGCCTTGTGTTGTCCGGTTTCGTCTCTGCGGAGTTCTATGGCTTTGGCAAGAGGGCTGAGAGGAAACAGAAAGGGCCTAAACCGTCTGCCGCGTTTGTGATAAAGCGGCCGGCCGTCTGTCTTTGCTGAGCTCCCTCCCTGCACCTCTGAACCCGAGTGAGCAGAGAGCACCGACCGTCATGCACCCACACACACACACACACACTCACACACACACAGATACTGTACACCTCAACGGACACTGGAGACACTGGAGACGCGGGTTACAGTATTTACAGGAGACACTGACTTGATCGCATGCACTTGATAATAATGCTTCTGACCTACGCCGTGGGGTTTACAACATGTGGAGATGAAAGTCAGTGCAGGAGTTCAGAGCGCGTCAAGATGAGTCTGTTTAGTGCTGTGACAAAGTTCGGACACCCTGTGAGTTATTGCAGAGGTTGTCGAGCTGCAAATGTTTTTTTTTAGAGTGAAAGGACGTGACTCCCTTATCTACGGTCTACACATGGCTTCTATCATACAACAGGAGAGGCTTCAGAATTCAATTTTATATCCCGTACCAGGCACATTGCACACCTGTTGCAATCTGCAGTACATGTTGTGTGCGTATAACTACACTCCTTCAAGCAAAAGGTAAAAAGTGTTTCTAGTATCAGCTCCCCTGCAGATTTTGTTTTTTTCTCTAACAATTACGTTTGGTTTGTAAGATGTCAGAAAGTAATAATACATGTCCAGAATCCAAGGATGACCACAGATAGAAATCTAGATTAAAATCTAAAAATATCCAGTGCAGTCAAATATTGAGCACTGATATAAATAGAACAACCATTAAGGAATTATCTGATCATTTAAGCTACTGTTTGGTTGCAGGATGGATGAAGAAATAAAAAGGTGATAAAACAGAGATTGAATTAAAGTTTACCCTTTCAGAACATTTATAGTCGTAGAAATGTCAAAACTAGTGAAGTCAAATCAAATCAAAACTTTCAATTATTTTAGAACAGTTTTAAGTGGTCCAGTTACAGCAGGAAACCAGAATGCAACTTTTCACAGCACAGATTTATGATTTGTGGGAACTGGAATTGAAAAAAATCCACCCAAAAACACCTCAACACTGTTCAAACCTCTTCTGTTGTTGGTGAGCTGCCGTCCGTTCCTAAATAACTACGTGGCTGTTTGGTGTATTTCTCTTTTTGTCGTGTACGACTGGTGAAACCTTGAGGATGTCACATTTATTTCCAACTGAGAGCAGAAAAATGCTTCGGTATTTAAAACATCAGGGTTTGGTGCCGGTCCCTCATGATAAAAGAGTAAAACACCAGGTAGACGCTCCAACCACAGGACGTACTGTAACTAGATGAGAAGATGCAATCCATGTTTTCTCGACTGGAAAACATCTTGCCATTATCCTCATTTGTCTCGCCTACACATTGAGAAACAGCGATGGGTTGACGTTAGTCTCTGGAGGATGTACAAGGTAATTAGGAAATGTAGGAACACGAGACAAACTAAGAGAAAGCCATGAGACCATAACGTCCACTGAACCCCACAGACAGAAGATATATAATATGATATATGCAGTGTGAAAGCATTAAAGGGTGGATTTTTTTTCTTTGCTCTCTGCACGGTGTTCACCCATCAGTGTCCAGGAGGAAGAAATTATCCAAAACCATATTCTGTGTTCATTCATGGCAAAACACAAGCCTGGAGTTACCATCTAGGATTTTAACTCGCCTCGCTGCTTGGCTGATGAAGCGATGCCAGCACCTCGTATCAGCCGGCGGTAGCTGAAGAGCTCCAGCACCACGAGGAGCTCCTGTGCGTACAAGATCTTCTGCTTCAGCGGCGGCGAGCTCCGCCATCGTCCTTTCAGAAACTACAATAAAAATTGTTCCCGTCTTGTGGTTCCCCGTCGCAGCCCCAGACTGCAGCCCCGGTAGCTCATCAGACTCCTGGTGGGTGACAGATCAGCAGACACATCTCGTCTGCTGGAGAAAGCAAGCAGCTCTTAACTCCTGCACTCATTATTATTATTATTTCTTTTTACATTTTTTTTTTTATTGCATCAGGGAAACAGAGACGACAGTATGTAATGTCAGCCCTTGAGTGTCCCTGTCAGAGTAAAGGGGGAGGAGTCCTGCATCACTCCTCATGCTGGCTTCATGGTTTTATTAGACGTTGGGTTGGAGACGTGCCCCTTGTTCGAAAAAAAACAAAAACAAAACTATAAACAAGTTTAAAAACAGATTTCGTCGATGGTTATTTCGAGTGTGTTGTTCCTTCTCGGTAGTTCTTTTCCTATCAGCAGGGACATGAGCTCACCCACTGGCATGCACATGCAGGCTGGCTTGTTCCCAGCTCACAGTGGCCACACAGCTACTCCATGCCATTCCTCAGCATCTGATTGGCCGCGATGAGCATGACGCTGATGATGAACGCCATGGCGAAGGCGCAGATGAGGCTCTTCCTCACGCACGTCTGGCGGTTCTTCTTTGAGGGATGAACTGAAATAGAAATGAGAAGTGGACAAACAAAAAGATGAAGCGCATAAATAAAAGAAACCCCTCGAGCGGCTGATTTAAACGATGGCACCACTTTCGCTTCTGACTGGACCCGGAATTGATCATTTTGTGTGCTCTGGATGAAAAAAACCATAATGAAGACAGAGAGTGCGCTGACACTAAGCACATTTTCAGGGTTTTATTTATGAATTTATTTATGATGTGAAGCGTTTACTCCTTCAGTTCATTGGTCAACTGCTCTCTCCCTTGAAATATTAATGCCATTCTAAACTGCCTCAGAGTACCTAAAAATGCAACTCTGGCTCTTTTGTCTGTCTTGTGGTTTGTTCTTGAGGATAAAAACTTAAACCCCAAATGGAAAGAGTTTGAGTTATTGGGATGGACGTTGGTGTCTGAGGAAGTAAGTTTGACAAAGTTAGGCTTTTTTTTTTTTTGAATAAGCTGGCTCAACAAAACATAAAATCCAGATCGGAGATAACAGCTAGTGGTTGTCGACCTTCTTAGGCCCTGTTTACACGAAGCAAACGGTGATATTTCAGTGCGTTTGGGCCTTTGGTTTACACGTAAACGAAGCTACAAGTCACCGAAAATGGTCATATCTAAAAACTCCGGCCAAAGTGGAGATTTGGAAAAACTCCATCTTTGCATGTAGACGGGAGGAGACGGAGTTTGACGTCACAGCATGCAACAAATCAGCGTCATATGTGTGCGACCCATGTTTACAGTTTGGCTACGTCCATATACTTGGACTGACATGTTTACAGTCAATATTTTCAAGTATTTTACTCGTTTTGTCCTCTAACACCACATGTAGGAGCAGCTCCACTTCTCTGTCAGTCCAAACAAACGACCCTCAAGCCATTATCGTTGAAGTAACAGCAAGTTTTCGTCGTGGTTTTTCCAGGATTCTGATTGGCTAGCATGGCTTTACGCTTCTCGTTACACTGCCCCCTACAGGTTGCTCATAGCAGCTCTTAATGACGTGTTTATGCTGGTTTGTGTAAAGGAAGATTTTTTTGATTTTTTTCTGATGTGAACAATGTTTTTGAAAACGTAGATCCGTTTTTGTGAATACCCGGCTACATGTAAACCTGGCGGTAGTCAACCCAGGTTTTGGATCCGTGTATCATCCATAAAGCGGGAGTTTGACTCAAAATAGACACATTAAATATCGTCTGCTTCAGTTAAAATGAACAGGTTGTTATAATGGAGAGCTCTGAGGAATATTCGGTAAAAAGCACCGTACTTAAAATGATAAAAAAATAATGGTGGACAATCATGCACGTTATTATATTACCTTTAACACTGTGTACGCTCAATGCAGTTCATTATTTCTTACACGACAGCTGCACATTACAGCTCTTAAACTTCCAACTTTATATATTTCTATTACTTTCTGTGACTCACAATCCCCCGACGACACTTGCTGCTAGTTGGAGTTGTATCACCTGCTTCTTATTTGTCTTGTAACACTTACTGCCTACTGACTGGCAGCGCTTTTTAAATCTATACGTTACTGTTTGTTGTTATGCTCTCAAACACCAACTCAAATTCCTGATTCGTGAAAACCTACTTGGCAATAAAAACCTGTCGAATTCTGATTAAAACATGATGCTCAGGAAGTCTAGTTGGATCTGACGTCATCCCATAATACAGAATACGTAAAAATCTGTTTAGTTTTTGGCCAAATCTAAGTGAAATTTATATTATTGATTGAATATTTTCTGTAATAAATGCCAATAGACTAATCTATTTCTAATCTGCGGTCTACAAGCTGCAGCACCAGGACCGAGGTGCAAATCAGGATCAAACATAGAATCGTATTTATGCGTTTTCTGTACCACCAGCTGACTGGATGTAGATTTCCATGGCAACAGGACGAATACAGTTTGCAGTCGTGTGCCAGCACGGCTTCCTTCAGTCGCATTTGCAGAGATATGAACATATTCCCGCTGATAACAATCTCACTCAGAGAGAATATGGTCAGGAAAAGAATCGCATGTGACAGCCAATTTAAATCCCAAACTCAGAGCAGAGCCTCCTCCAGAGCAAGTTAGCGGTGCAGCATCGGTTACCATGGTGATCTGGCAGGTTGAAAGAGAGCCACCTTCATGACATTGAAAACTCTGACTTTAGGTTCAACATACCCAATAATCTCACTTCCTGTTACACTCTCTGGTGCTTGGCATTACAAATATGAACACACCCATACAGGAGGTCTGGGCTACAGCTATTCTTTCTTTCTCATATATTTGTAAGTTGCATTAAGGAGTAAAATTCAGCAACTATTAAAGATACTCATTATGTGTCACAGCGGGTGGACGACAACACGAGACAACAGGCTGCACAAGCTCTGGCCTGTATAAATAAATTCAGGTAACTTTTTTTTTTATTCACAAATCCATTCCATGTGCTACAGTTTGTTGTGAAAATCTTCAACTGAAGTTGGGATCAATAGAAATAAACCCGAGGTGTGATCTCACATTAGTGTTGCCGGGCAGAATTACCAGCTCTGCTCTGGATCTCGGCTGAATGAACAGCGGGTTGCTGGGAAGTTGCCAGCAGAGCGGGACACTAAGGTAAGCGTTACAATCCACAGACCAGACCGACTTCGTAGCAACAGCATTAAAGTCATGATAAATGGCCCAATTAGCGGTACGGTAATTTTTAAGCTACAGAAATAAATAACACTTTAATCCACTATATTAATGTTTCCATTTAACTACATGGAAAACTGTCACAGTCATCGGATGTTGAGAAAATCCTACACAAACACACAGTCTCATTCTCTGTTAGGCACATGTTGCTAACAATAATGCAATAAATTCATAAAGGTTATAATTTTCTAATATTTTGTCCACCTTATTCAGGTAAATCAGAGCCAAGACAAAGCATCAGAAATGTACCTTTGTGTGTAAATGATTGTGCAGCAGTGAGAAGCACCACTTTCATGCTCACTGAACAGAATTTAGACACCTGGCAGCAAAATCCACCTCAGGACTGAGGAGGCATTGTCTCCGTAATACCTCTGCGACGACGGCATGTCGAACTCACACGTTCACACAGCAGCGGACGAGGTTCTCTGTCTTTATTTTCTGGTTCAGTCAACCTCCGACTGGTTCTGCAGCAGCTCATCCCCCCTGCAGTCAGTCAGCGAGCGGCTCCGATGATTTTACCGGGTCGCTGTAATTAGGGGAGCTGGGCCAATGACCCACAGCCACGCGGCTCTCGCTCGCTCTATTTTTAACTCCCAATTCAAGAGGCACTGAAGTCATCAAGAATGCTTCTCGACCGCCGTTCCAAAGAAAATGCAATGTGGAAAGTGGGACAGAAACGGCTACATCTTTCTTGGCCGAGACGTCGAGGCGGTGTTATTAGTTGGCAATCGTCGGCTGAATAATACTATCCCAGACTTTCACATAATATGAAACATAACGACATCACTTTTAGCCAAACGGATTATCTAAGAATGAGCGTGGAGCCAGTGACCGAGGTTACGTAACTCAACACTGGGTGAATGGTTAGCTCTTACTTTGTTTGTACACAAATACATGCTATAGTAGATGACAGAATATGTTTTTGAAATCTGACATTTATCATGGTGGCTTTTCCTCAGAGCAAAATCTCTTTTCAGGAACAGCATGCTCACACCCACGGTTACTCATATTCACACCTTGAAGCTGCCTCGTACAACCACAGTCTCATCTGCTGGACGTTTGTATCACAGAGATGGAAATGAGGGGGCTCGCAGAAAATCACTCTCCGCTCAGTTTGATGCTGCAAGACCTGGGATAGAGCTGGTAATCTTCTGATGGAAACCTGTTCGACTGCCTTTTAATCCACTGCTGACACAGCACGAAAGCCTCCATCTCCTCCAAGCTGCACTGTTGACAAATAAAAGCTTTTCTAATTGGATATATTTTTGTTTGTTTCAAGCATCTCATGTCAGTGGAGCAGAGCAGCATCACTCCTGTGTCAGCTAAACCTTCCCGCTTCCAGATTCGGTCGTGACTTCCACAGTCGCCTTTAGCTAGTATTTCTTAATGATGATTTCAGTGGAAATTGCAAGCTGTGAAGTGCTTTGATATCTTTTTATAGCCTTGCCCTGCTTTGTAGTCATCAATTAGCTTAATTTTCAGTTCCTTAATTGGTTGCTTAGAGGAGCTCACCAGTGGATCCTGAGATAATTTATCAATTTATGTGAAATTTTCATTGGCTAACAGTTCCTAAGGACAATTCTTAAACTGTCTTGCAAGTCCTCGGCGGTATATTAAGACTTATTGGGTTAATAAAGTTCTAAGACTATAAAAGAAGCACATTTAGCACATGCCACAATTATAGTTTTTTGTATTTTTTTTAAAGTTCCTATGTGTCTGTTTGCTATAGGGGTTGTATATACTTCTTCTCACCTCAGAAATCAACCCATGGTGCCATTTGCCCAGTGGTGCAGAAACGTTTGCATGCAGCCGAAAGTTCAGGATGAGGAGAGCTGGGTGTCAATGGAAAGAACATGTGTTGGGCTGCTGGACTGTGAAGATGGGAGGAGAGTTGCGGTCTAGACTTTAGGTCTCAGTCCAGTCGCCTGAACCTGCTCGCGGCCTCATAAAACACCTCCGCAGCCGCCCAAAGTAATGATGCCGCTGCCAAGTATCCACAGAGGACTTTCTTCAGTAGACCACTGTGGTCTTGAAGGTAATGAAGTGTACACTGGTCTCCAGGCGGCTGAATTATGGCCGTCTACCTTCACATGTGCCTCGAACGCATTCGTCTTTCTCTTCATGCTCAGTGGGGACACAATATCTGACAGTAAATTTTTATTTAATAGCTTTTTCTTTTGGTGATATTTCAGGGCCAGAATGCTTATACTGCAGTTGCCGGGGAGTGATCTATGAAGTTCCAGGGCATTGTATTTGTCCAACTATTAGCAGGAACTGATGCATTTCGTCGCAGTCGGTGGAAGGAAGTTTGGCCGCTCGTAAACACCATGCATTTTTAATTAGACAGGTTTAAGAAGCACATTTTTCCTCCGCTAAAGAGGAGAGCCGAGGCACAATCGATGCCGTTAGTTTGTCCGCGAGTTTATGCAAAAACGTTGAATTTTCCTAAAACGTGGAGGAAAGACGGAGCATGAGCACAGCAAGAACCCTGAAGGCAGAGGAGGCACTGTCCCAGAACCCTTCTTGGTGATGCATTGATATGGTGACTGATGAAAAACTACAAACTTAGCAGTGCTGTTGAAAAAAATTACCATTACCTTCAGATTGGGCGCTGCAGGGATTGGGAATCAATCAAACTGAAAACCTACGTTTTAATGAGCCTTTTGCAGTTTGGCTGTACCGGCTGTGCATAGTTAGACTTAATCTTTTAGACAAGCATATACTACTGGCAGCATCAAACCCCTGGAACACAAAAGTTGATGCATTTAACAGTTTGAACTGAGAAATAACTAAATTACCCTGCAATGAATAGTTTGAGACTCTGTTCTTGAAGCAATAAACTACGTCTCCATTTGCAGGATCAGGCAGGTAGCAGAAGAAGACCGCAAATATAACTTCAGATGATGCAGCCACGCACCACAAATAAGCACAATAAAGAGATTAAATCTATACACCTGCGTGGCAGCTGTTACAGTCATGGATCGGAGTCGATTTCCACGCTTGCTACTGGCTGCCAGGCGCTCCCCGGACAGCTGCTGCTCCGGCGTGCGCTTTATGCCATCGGTACAATTTGTTCAGCTATGAATCGGTGCCGGGTGAACTTCTATGGATCAGTGGGTCCGTTCTTTATTCTGTTGTTTTTCAGCTCCACACCGTATTGATTCCACAACGAGGTGATACCAGAGGGAAATCAAGTGCCTCTTATGCTACCTCATATATCAGCGGGCTGAAGTAGTGGAGTAGCATGATGAATCGTACTCGGTTTGAATCGCACGGTGACACGACGTATCGATTTCTCCATGACTGAGCACATTTTGGTGGCCTCTGTGTGGCAGATGGTACTCATAGACCTTGAGGCCAATAGATATGATTGCTCTGTTTGATTCTGCTGCGGTCAGCCTTCATCGTAAACCCACTACGAGCATCATGCTGTCATCACTCTACACCAGTTTTAAGGTCTTGATAAAGTGCCGCTGCAATCCGTGTCCCCACCAGTGTTGGTCCAGTAAATCCCCTCTAAGACAGGAGAGATTCACAGCCGGGCGGCGTTCGGTAAGAGATGTTAAGGGCGGCTCGGCCTCTGGGCATCATTTTAGTCCATAGACGGAATACATGACCATGACTGGGAAGAAAAATCTCAATGCATTAGAATTTCACACGTACGGTATTAGTCGCAGACACTTTTCTGATGAAGGCGGTCTCGCTGCATAACAAAGTAGGTTGGGAACCTGTGCGGCTACGCTGCCTTCAGGACATGTGGGAACTGTTAGTGCTATGACTCAGCATTTCTTACGCCCCAAATTCATATTATAGCTGTTGGAACCAAATGGATGCCCACGAGGAAGCCACATTTTTCAGCTGCTTTCGGAGCAATCAATCAAGGTACACAGGCTCTGCATAATGTTACAGGGCCAAAAGTTTTTTTTTTTACTTTTAAATTTTCATTTACAGTTTTGTTTTGTTCCTCACTAGTTCCCATCATAACTCATCTGTTTGGACTCTGCACAGAAGCTTTCTAATCAAGGCTCACTGGCAAATAAAGAAAAAACAAGAGTGACGGTGAACAGCGGGAGGTTCACGGATGTGTAAAGAGGGCAATAGGAGGTAAATACATTAAAAAGGCAAAGTTAGCGTGAACACATCTATTGGCTGTCGGTCGACAACAAGCATCTGTTTAGTTTCCAGCCAAACAGATGCTTATTAACGCAGCATCCTGCACATCAGTACGGGACGGCCTGGACTGCATACCGAGCGCTGGGACACTGTACTGTCAAGCCTCATTTGATATTAAACTGTAAATGTTTTATGTAATTTTAACTGCTTTTTGGCCTGGTTTTCTGCTATAAAATGCTATTTCCGCCAAGACCCAAAGCAGAAACGACTCCTACATCTTAATCCAAACTTGTCATTTAGAAAATATCTGAGATTAGCTTGAAAAAAAAACAATGATTTTTTCCTGTTTTCACAACAAGAGTGAGAAAGTCCTGGAAGACTCGCTGCTGCTCTGATATCTATAAATCTTGGATGGCTAGTTTTGCAGGACCGCGGTCATGCATTTTTCATCTGTGCCACTTCCGAACAGGTGACCAGCTGACACGAGCCCCCACCGACGCCCCGAATCAATAAATCAGCAGGTGTGCCGTGACTCTGCTGGCCGTGGATCCTGATGAGACAGCTCAAATTCTTCCTGACAGCACGGATTACTTTCTCCCTCCCGACCCACACACAGCACACACAGCATGGCGACGACACGCACATTCGCAAACACACACTTTTGTCTAAGTGCCTGTGTGCGTGAAGTTAGCTCAGGGACTTTCGCTCACCTCCCTCAAACTCCGTCTGACAGTTCCCGGAGTTTTCCTTCAGGCTTTCTTCCTCGTTGATGATGATGTTCTCGATGTCCTTCATGGTCAGGTGGTCACGGAAGGCGTAGAACAGGATGTGTTTCAGCTCCTCCAGGGTGATCCTCTGCATGTCGAACTGCGGGAGGAAAGAGACGAAGAGGGGATCATTAGGAGAAAAAAAAAAAAAAGAACCAAAGCCATTTTCCCTTTCACATAAATAATCCGTGTGCGCTTCGAGTGTAGGCCTCACAGGGCGGCTCATGAACTGAACAAGCTTTAACTCCGGTGCACTGATGTGACACAACTCTGCACCACCAGCTCCACTATGTTTCAACAAACTAGAGACTCCATCACACCCTGAGCATGGAGGTAAAAATCTCAATAAATTGTTGCTGTCAACAACCAAAATAAAATGTTAATTGCGGGAACACAAACAATCATGCATGTCCTCGTAATTCTTTTACCGCACACGTCCCGGTAGCTCGTACACATGTCGGTCTAAAGCAGCCACTTTAATCAGAGTGTTGCACAGAGTTAATGCATTGATTAAATTGAATGCACAAGAGTTATGGTCCTGAAGTGATTGATTTTGAGTATTTACAGAAATTAGTCAGACGGAAGGCGCACATACACAAG